TGCATGGTTTGCCGATAACAGAAATGAAGTTACTACGCGTATCAATAAACGTATTGCCGATATGACCGGGTTCGATCTGTTCGGCTCAGAATTGCTACAAGTGATGAATTATGGACTCGGTGGTCATTATAGTACTCATTACGATTTCTTCAATGTATCTATGGTAAATATCTTTGTTAGACTTGGTATTCATCATTATCATACTATGTTAAATTAGCTAGCTAAATGAAATGAATAGCTACGTGAACCTAGTAACCATTAGGCTCTTATGTATTATTGCAAGATATTTTAATATATTTTTATTTGCTTCCAGACAACGGATATAGTGGCGAAGCAAGGTGATCGTAAGGCTACTGTTCTCTTTTATGTAAGCAAGCATGATTTTTCAATGTTTTCTCCAAACCTCGAATAATGCAATTTCAAACATACATACACTTTCATAGATGACTGATGTGGAGCAAGGTGGCGCGACTGTATTTCCAAATATAGAAACTGCTATTTTTCCTAAGAAGGGTACTGCTGTAATGTGGTATAATCTTAATAATCAATACGTGGGTGACTATAAAACCCTGCATGCGGGCTGTCCAGTATTAGTTGGTTCCAAGTGGGGTAATTTTTTCTATTCTCAATAATTACTGTTCGAATATTTGTTTGCTTAAATATTTATATTTACAGTTACAAACAAGTGGATCCGTGAAAGAAATCAAGTGTTCCGGCTACCATGTTATAAGGAATAGTCATAAGGAATAAATCATACATATGTATATACATAGGTTGTATTATTTAAATTTTGTATTAGACAATTTTTAAACCCCATAGCTATTTAATAAATTTAATTTGAGCACGAAAAACTTTAGGCAAATGTGGCTTTCTTAGAATCATATGGGGCTAGATACTCCAGCATTCGAATAAAATTAAAAATATAATATTTTAAGTATTCACTGTGCTCTTTGACACATAAGTAGCATAAAGCCTAGTTGTTCACCCCACGACAGGTCTGAAATATTTTCATAGCCTTACTCCACACAAATGGTCCAGCATGATTTGAAATCGTTGATCTGTATGTTCAGTTCCTTTGCTGCAACGTATGTCGTTGTGCAGAAGGAATAGTATTAGTAGGAGATGATCCCAATCCTTTGTAGGCATAGCAATATCTGGCTAGCATACATCCCGGACCAAAAGGTGATATAGAATATTAACAAGTTTCCTTACACATACAAGGCCAACTAGTTTTGAACCGACCCGTTTTTATTAACTGACTTGCAAAAAAGAGGACCTTTTAAATTCGTCGGTATGTTTTATTATTTTTGAATGTCTGTTGCAGGATATCTTTGGACCACGTCAACCGATATCGATAATTAATTTTTTCCTCCCCAAGGGTGGCCCCATACTTATTTAGTTTATTTCCGATCATTGGATCATCAAGAAACTAACGGTATTCCTAAATTTTTACATGAACCCTAGTCGGAATTTTAATGCTCTTAGGATTGTTCTATACCGAAAAAATATACCCATATTTTTATTTTAAATCAAAAAATATTTAGTGGTGGCTCAAAGCGCTTAAAGTTTTCCATGTACTTTATATGAGAAAACAACTTTTCGTAGAAATGGTATAGAATTCATGAAAGTCAATATTTTTATGAAAATCATGAAAATCAATATCATCAGGAGACTCCCAATAATAATACCCATTTCTTTATTTAACCATTTTTTTATAGTAACTATAATATATAGGTCCGCCAAAAACTCTAAAAATGCAAAAAATTGTTTTTTAAGTAAATTAGATTTGACTGCATATATTGCATTTAATTCTTAGTAGAGATGCCGTTTTTAAATTGATTAAATCGATTCTATTTCTTGTCGATTTTTTAGTCCCGATTCGATCCGTGAATCGATTCGAACTACGGTTTGCCCCAGAAAATCTATAAAAATTTAAAGAAAAAAATATATACATGAGAAAGCAAAAGCCAAAGAATTCAATGACCTTTCCCATCCGACTAAATGGCTCCCCAGGGAAGCCTCTTGAGAATAACTCTATACAAAATTATGGCTAATACCATGATAAAAATATAGTAAGGTAGAACCGCTGAGAGTCACTTTTAAAATTCTTGACGTTTCCAAACAATTTAATTTTTAAATTTACTCACAAACTCACACACACATTTTCATTTTCAATCTCAAGCAACAACAATTTCGAACAATTTCAATTTTTTGTTTTCACTTTTATATGATTTTAAAATGTTGACAAACTTCAAAAAAAAAATCATGGCCGACAAATTGAGAGAACGGTTATACCTTGCTATGTTTTTATCATGGCTAATACTACAATAACAACTCCAAAAAAGTGTAGCTCCCAACTTTATGGAAATTTTCATAAAAAATTTTCACCATTTAATTACTCTTTTTATTTATATTTTTTAAGTGAAACATAGAGTCAGCGAAAAACTAAAAAACGTCCGCATTGCAAAAAAAGTATATATGTACGTAAGTTCATTAAACATCTTAAAATAGAAGTTAACTTTGAAGTATGTAAAACGTAAAGTTTTGTCTCATTGTGTTGTGTTGTATTGTGTAGCACCGTGTCAGTGAGTTTGTTTCCACATGGCATTTTTAAAATGGCATACATTTTTTTGTCATTTCGTTGCCTGGCGGAAATTTGGTTTCTGTTGAATGATCATATCATTGTGTTAGTATATAAACGCCTTATCTCTTACTTTTTTGAAATAAATCTAGATATTGAAACCGTTATGAACAATGTATGTATGTAAAAAATAGTTATGTACAATAAAAGCTTGGCCAGATCGCTATATCTGATTCCTTTATAAAAATTAAGTAAAATACGTTATTTGACAAAATATATGAATCGATCTTTTTTCTTTTGACCTGAAAACTCTAATGCTATCTAATGATTATCTATTTCGTTTTGATCTCAGTAAGAAGTAAAAAAATTCGTTTGCAGTTAGCATAAGAATGATAGAAAGATATTGTAAAACTATATAATTCCATTAAATTTCGATATAAGAAATCTCCATTTACAGCCCATTTTTAACGGCTACCTACCAAAGGTTTGTACATCGCTAATTTTACATTTTTTGGTAATAAATAAATATTTTTTTATTCGTCGTTTAAATCAAACTGGCCAACATCTTGCCGCTATGCATTCTAAAGACTTGCAATTAATTATCTTACATTCATTTAAAGCAACTTCAGAATCTAGAAACTCAAGACATTTGAAAGAAGAATCATTGATTCGAAATTTTTCTAATATTTCAAAATATACAACTTGAAGAATTCCTCTCACGTTTTTCTAATTTCAAGCACTTTACCTTTTTCCAAACTACTTTCTGTATAACTCAAAAACTTGCTATTAAAATTAACTTCAAGGGAACCAACTGTGTCTTATTTATCAATTACGCAATAAATTTTATTACGTGGTAGTCATAAAATCCCAAAAAAAGGCCAAATTACCGCAAACTGGCAACAATGGTCTACGCATCGCCGTGAAAGTACTCGCAATGCGCAGACATACTAGTGGTATTCACCAAATTGAGCAAATGGCCTGGCACTCTGCCAGAGCTGGAAAACTATCGATGGTTTCGATAGTCGATAGTCACAACTATTGATAGTATCGATACTATCGAAAATGTCAACACTATTGATACTAGTATCAACTTTTATTGACAATGAGATCATAATTGCTAAAATATGTCCATATTTTTGCTAAGGGGCAAAAGTTTATCGACAATTTTTGGCTTCAAGCAGCATCTGCGCTCTTAAATTATTTGCCCCGCTTTCCTAAATGTCACTTTCGATGAAGCAGGTACCGCCCACTTTTACTCTTACTGAATAATGTATGTATTAGTGAAAACTATCGATAGTGTTTAGAAAACCATCGATGTTTTCGATAGTCAAAAGCCATCGATACTACCAATAGTGCCATGGATAGTTTTCCAGCTCTATGCCGTTGCTTGAGCTCATCTGTTGTTTTGCCAGAGTTCAAGGCCACTTGCTCAATTTGGTGAATACCACTACTGTGTTGTGTATTTTGCCTATTACTTTTTCGTTTTCGTTTAACAGCTTCGATAAACTTCGAATGAAAATTAGGGCAATTGGGACTGAACTACTTACAAATGAAGTAATTCGCTCTCAAAATTTTTATGGCGAATTACGTAATTTGAAGCGTAATTGGGGCGCCAATTATGACTGAGAGGGCAAATTACGATTGGAAGAGTGAGTTACGTGCAGTGGGAACGTACTATAACCCTCTTCGAAGTACGTATTTTCAAACTAAAATCTTCTTAAACGTCATAGGTCTATAAATACCCTTCTCTAAACATGTTTGATTTTTAAAATGAGACGAAAAATAGTTAAACTGTGCATCAAGTGCAAAGTTAATGGTTGTTTTTAAATAAAATAAAAATGGAGGGTTCTGCATTTATAAGAAACCTATTTTCATGATGTAAGTACTCGACCCTATCCACAATCTACAATAAGTTTTGTTTCGGGTGTATTTCGTGAATTTTTGTTTGTTTGTAGCATCATGTTATTAACTAGAATGTAAGCATATGAAAGAACTGAGCGGTTATAAACAAAACCATACATACACACACGTGTGTATTTAAAAATATGCTTACATTCATACAAATCTACAGTGTTTTAAACTTTCTGCAGGCGCATTGACCCGAAAGCTCTCTATGGCCGGCCAGCTATTTCGGGCCAATAAGTAAATATGTATGCATGTAAAGTAGAAGAAACCGGTTAAATAACCGCGTTACACAAACAATAATACCTAGCGATTATGCCATTTCAGCTATCATGGTCTTTCTTTAACCTCTTCTAACTAAAAATTTGCGGCATCTGTATTATAATTGGTCGGTAGCGGTCAATTGAGCATCTTTAGTTTAACTGGAATTTAGTTAGTTTTTAGTTGGACCGTGAAACAGTGCAGTGCGTTGCACACAAATCGTTTTAGTTTGTTTTTGTATTAACTTAATTTGGAAATGCCTACCGCAAAGAAAATGGTAGTGAAATTTGATCTATTTTTTCTAACGCTTTGCATTCAGTTGCTGCCATTTTGTGCAGTTCTGTCTCAGACCAAAGTGGAGTTCTTCTCATCGGTGCATCAGATGTCCAAATTGGTGGAGTTTGAAGAGGTCCTTTTGCGACATATGGAGAAATTCATAAAAGCGAATGAAAACAAATTGGAATACCTAAAGACGTGAGTGATAACTAGTGATAGATACGCGTAGAAATGGATAAAAAATTAGAAACGGGTTTGAGTGATGCAGAGTGATCTTTAATTTAATTGTGTATTATTTTATTTTAATGTATTTTAGTTTTTATTTTTTATTAAAAAAATTATGCAGTTATTTCTAATATATTCTTATTTACATACATATGTATACAATGTGGCCGAGACCACCCGTCCAACCCCCCTAAACTGGAGGGAAATGTTTTTTTAATGAAAAACGCAAAAATGTAACCTACCAAATCGGGGATGCTACTTTGGTTCTTAATGATTTCCATGATGCTTGGCTGTTAACGAATACAGTCCCCAGCAGAAAATTATGGGAAAATATTTAGTTTTCTATTTGGCAAAGATCTGCGCCTGAAAGACACTATAGTCGTCGCGCAGAGGATATTATTTCCTTATTTGCACTTCCTCTAAATAACCGTGCCGACTGACTCCCTTTTCCAACTGTGAGCCATCGATGTAGATGGAAGTGCCCTCATTCCCCTCAGTAGACCTGTCTTATTCTTCACTAAACGGAAATTGTAAAAGAAAATCCCAGTCACTTCCGATATCTAAGTCGGCCTTTATTGCATTGCGTCGCCCTCTGATAATCTCATCCAAGAACTCTGCCTGCCCAGAATTGCTCTTATTCCTCTTTCTAGGTCGAAAGTCCTAGTTAGTATCTTAGTCAAACTTTTAAACCCCCTATAAATGCTATTTTTGACAACTTTTCCCCATCTGTATTTCTTTGGTCCCTAGTCGGCTTAGATAATCCTACGTCAGAGTGTATAGTGCAGAAAATCCTACTTCTTCTCTAACCCTATCACACAGCATTGGCTGATTGCCTTTGTTAGTTGATACTAGTTTAGTAGAGAAGTTTAAAAATCAAAGGTAGAATCACCAACTTGCATTGTTGTCTGAATTTATCCAAAACTCATGATGGTCCCTGTAATATATCGATTGTGGAGTAAAAGTCCAAATGCACTGTGCTGTATGCCTTTATTTTATGAGTATTCAATGTATTCCATCTTTAAAGTTGCGTGTGTTATTTAAGGTCTTAACTGACTAATAATAATAACTAATGAATCCGCATGGCGTTAAAACGCCAAATTTGCATTAAACTTTTTAAACAAATTGAAATCCTATAAAAACTCAAAAAAAAAATTTTTAAATGATTCATATAAAGACATTTCTGAGTGAATAGATATCTCGCATGGTGTCGGTTTTTGTATACATAAAATTTCCACTCTATACCGCCAAAAAAGTTCTAACTTCAAAAAAAATACAACCTTATTGCACATCTATGTACAATCCCAGTTATTTAACTTGTTTATAAGTAAAACAAATTCGACTTTTTAAACAGGTGGCAAACTCTTTAAAAGTATTTTCAAACTAAAATCTTTTTAGAACTTTTTCGTCTGACATTGTGATACATATTACATATTCAATTAACTTATGAATTATGTTAAATTTGATTTTTCTACTCCGTGGCAACTCTCCTAAATACAAACACGAAAAATTATTTTCAAACTCATTTCGATTGATACCCATATTTTGACAATCCATTTAACTAATTAAATAATTTGAATTTAATATTTTTAACAGGTGGCCACCCTCAGCAAATTTTAAACGTTCAAATTAAATATTCCAAAACACTCATTTTGAAATTTCATATAATTTGTATATAATTAAACTGAATTCGACTTTCAGAACAGGCGGCAACCTCTTTAAAACAATTTTCGAACTAGCATCTTCTTAAATATCTTTCATATGACATTGTTATAAATATTTCAAGCAACTGATGAATTTGAAATTGAATTTGATTTTTTAAACACGTGGCAACCCAAGTAACTATATTTCAGAAAAACGGGTTTTAAACTGATTTTGATTGATAACCATCTTTTTATAATTCATTTAACTTATTCAATAAATGTATTTATATAAACTTTTAAATTGATGGCAACCTTCAGACACATCAAAAATATTGTGAATTGTGAACTAAATATTTCTTAAAACTCTTTCATTTGACAACTATTGTATATAAATCTTGGGTATAAATTAATTGACTTCAACTTCTCAAACAGGTGGTAACCCTCTTCAAAATAATTTCAAACTATTACCTTCTTAAACCTCTTTTGTCTGACACCTTCTTCACTTTCCTAATTACTTTAATTAATACTGAATTAGATTATTTAAAAATGTGGCAACTCTTCTACATGTACTTAAGATATAAAGCCTTTTCAAACCAATCCGGTTGATACCCTTATTGTAACAATGGATTTCACTTGTTTAAAAATTTAAACTTAAGAGGTGAAACCTTATTGCAGGCTCCAGTGAAGAGCAAATTGTTGTTAAAAAGCTAAATTCAAATTTTTCCAAACAACTGCTTCCTAAAACTTGGTGTCTGAGTAACTCCTATTGTAACCGTTGGAATTTTCAATTTACAACCTATTTCATAGCTATTTTGAAATTAAATTTCGATTCCAAATCAGGCATGATCGTAAAATAAAAAACTGTTTAATGGGATTCGACAACAAATATACTTATATATTTTCCCCATATTTTCATATTTTCCCAGCTGCGAGAGGCCACAAAATACACATTAAGTATCTGATCGCCATAGAATTTTATATTGGAAGTACATATCTAGGCAAATAGGATTCTTTTTGTTTTAAGGGCCAGCGCAGTGTGTAATCATTTGTACAATATATTGACACTTGAGTGGCAGATCGACCTATCTTGGCAGCCACTTCGGAAACGCCTTATCAAAGAAAACTTTTCAAGAACGCCCTATTTCAGAATTCGGTTCAAGAAGGGGTAGCGCCTTTCGAACTGGCTGCCGAGATAGGACGATCTTCCACTCAGGTATCAATTTTCTCACGATTTAATCACTTTATCCACGATTTTAATTATAAATTGCACTAATTCTTTACAGTCGCTTGGCAGAATTGGAAAGCGATCACCATGAAGCGCTTCAGGAGGGTCCTGATTACTTCGAGAGCCCAATAAATAATTATTTGCTAACTAAGCATTTAACAATGGACTGGGAGCGTGTTGAAAATCTAATGGAATATGAATCAGGAAAAAGTAATGTCAATTTAATAATATACATACCTTTCTTATTTACTTAAATTTTCAGAAATTTGTAATGCAATCTGCAGTAGCTATCCATTAATCAATTAAGATCTTGAAAATTGACTCTGCAGGAAATGTGTCTAACTATAAGCTAACTTTATGTTGATTAGGAAGGAGCTAAAATGCACTTATTATCTGTATATTTTCTTTGACGAAAGCTAACTATATTTCTATGGCGATGGCCGCGAAATAGTCAAGGGTGGTTTACCTCTGCATTAGATGTAGTCAAGGGTGGTTACCTCTGCATTTGATGCAACTAACTTGTAACTACTTTTGGACATAAAATATCAATGGGAAAACAAAATATTTTATTTTAATTTTTATTTTTTTAATTTTTATTTACTTTATTTATTTTATAACATTTCACACTTGTTTCTATATTCTGCTGTATTCCGTCAGACATAACTTCAAAATGATAATATGAAACTTCGATCTCCCTTTTATTTGTCCTCAATTCGAAAAAGTATTTGCGAAGTGCAGGATATTTAAATAGATAAGCGTTTAAAGAAAACAATCTCGAGCCTTACTCCTGCATTACTTGTCCACATGTTTCAAGTTAGTTTTTTGTAGCTAACCACTAGTTATATATTTTATAGAATTCCCGCAAAACAGCTAGCTACAAGTAGGTGATTTTTTATCAATTGATAATTTTTTTCTGCAGGGTGTATTTTTACTAAAGAAGTAATCTGGTAGTCGGCATCTAAATATTCTCCGCCAAAGCTTGGAAAATCACTGAAATAACTTTGAACCGGTTCCTTACTAATCCCCAGTTTCACACATGGTGGAATTATATACTATATTTTATGTAGTTGCTTGTTTTAAGAATAAGAGCTTAGAAATAAGAATTAAATAATACAAAGGTTATTTGGTAAAAAAAAGCTCCATATTCTTACAATATATTTCTTTTCTTTCACTCCATTATTTCCGAATAGAATCACTTATCAGAATGGAACGCTTCAAGAAACACCAGGCATACCCCGAAATTAGGGAATTAGATGGCGCCATTGCAGGACTCGTGCGCATACAGGACGTCTACCGGCTCAAGACAGCGGACATGGCTCGAGGCATACTGGACGGTGTTGAGTATAAGTGAGTGCGAACATCAACGTCAAATTCACAGACTATTTTAATAAACAGTATTTTTTTGCGAATATCAACATTATCAGCGTCGAATTGAATGCTCAACTATGTTTTGATGTCGCTAAATATGCTGCCAAGAAAAATAAAACGCGACTTGCCCACGCTTGGGCCACGGAAACGCTGCAACGCTTAGACAACACTGAAAGCTCCTTCGGTCATTCACTGCCTCTAGCAGAGAAAATAGATAAGGCTGAAGTATTGCTTTCACTGGCCAAATCTAAGATGAATTTAGGCGATTTAAAGGGGGCAAATGAAACTTATGCTGAGCTGGTGAAAGAGCGGCCGGATGTCGAGAACTACACAAATACTTACTTGGATTTTCAGTTGCAAAATTTCGAAAGTGATTACGCGAGTCTCAACCTAACGGCAGAGCATGATGTACGTAGCTTATTTAGGGAAAATTAATCATTCTCTCTCCCTCTCTCAATTATAAAGCATATTTCTTGCAACAATTGCAGCCAATACCCGAGAACCTATACAATTCTGACCAGCATAACCTTTACAAATATGTATGCAATGGCTTATTTAAACAAACTCCGCGCGAAGAACGTGAACTGCGTTGTGGGTATCTTATCGAGACGCATGCATACTTACTGATTGCGCCCATAAAAGTCGAGGAATTAAATCATGATCCCTTGCTTGTCGTCTACTATGATATCCTTTCAGATGCTGAAATTGCGATAATGAAAATGATAGCCAATAATCGTATTGAGCGTGCAAAGGTAATAGGTGCTGATGAGCCCATTATCTCACCTGTGCGCACAAGCCAATTCTCATTCATACCGAAAACTGCGCATAAGGTACTGCAGGCGATTGATGTGCGCGCGGAGGATATGACTAATTTAAATATGAACTTTGCTGAGAATCACCAATTTCAGAATTATGGCATCGGTGGACATTATGCGCAACACTATGATTGGTTTACGAAGAATTTTGTAAGAAAAAAAAATAATAATTGTAGTACATACATATGCCTCTAGAATGGAATTTTGGTATAGCGTTTAAATTTTTCTTACAGACTAACAAAACGATCTCAAATATAGAAATGGGAAATCGAATCGCAACGGTTCTATTTTATGTGAGTAAATGCTAGTTCTTATCACCTCCATTGTAAAATAATTTAACTGCAAATGCTTTTAATTTTAAGTTAACAGATGTTGAGCAAGGTGGTGGTACTGCCTTCCCTTACCTCAAGCGCCTGTTGAAGCCAAAGAAGGGCGCCGCTGCATTCTGGTACAATCTGCATGCGAATGGTGAGCGCGATTATCGCACTCTACATGGCGGTTGTCCGATAATAGTGGGCTCCAAGTGGGGTATGTTGAATATAAATTAAAACAAATACCCTATAAACGTATTTGTTTATATTGTAGTACTCAATCGTTGGATTCGGGAACATGATCAGAGTGATCGTAGGCCTTGCGATTTGTGATGAGATAAATTTGCTATGAAGAGGTGCTAGTCTTATAAACTAATTACTTAATTGTTAAGTGTAATAAATTATAAAAAAATTAATGTAATATTATTATTATAATACTTATTTGCTCATTAATGTTTTAACTATTTAAAGTGTTTAACTTATAGTTTAATTACTTACGTTCGTGGTTGGGGTCGGTAGAAACGACTGTTCTCAATAGTGTTTCCAGAAATATATTTCCATTGAGGGCTAGAATCTCCAGAAAAAATGGCTAGAAAGGGCTAAATAAAAAATTTTAGAGCTAAGAAAGGGGCTAGTTTCATTATTAATTGATTAATTATTTATTTTAGAATGAATTTCCAAAATTTGATTTGTTTAGGTACATAGGCATATACAGTTTTTATTCTAAACAAACATTCTGAGCTCAAAACTCGTAAAAAGAATACCACATACAAAAATAGCTCCATTACGAATTCATTAATTAAACTAGTTTACACGGAAAAGGACTTCGGTAAAAAGCGCTTTTTTGCACTAATTTAGGTTCGCTAAACATGGAAATAAGTCTCATTTATTTCCGCCAAGAAGCTAAACCTGTTTTCTAGGTCTTTTTCAGGTATATACAAAAATCTTCTTTGGACATCTTTCGAAAGGCATATTTAGCCTCATTGTGTGACATATTTTTTGTGTTGATCGGAATAGTACTTCTTGACTTTTTCAAAAGATGAGCAAATTTTCAAGTTTTTTCGAAAATTTTTAATTTTTATTCATTACTTTCAGATGATATACTTTGTAAAAAATAATTTAAAAAACTTAAGACGTAGGCGAACTTTATAACGAAAATATGAAACATAAGAACGCCCAAATCGGACAGAAAATGTGTAAAATTTTGACAAATTTATGGGTCGATAATGGATAGCAACCGAACTTCAGTTGCATTGCTAGTTGCCGAGAGGATATTACAGATGGAAACTGGCAACTCTCAACAGAGATATGCAGTACTACATTTTTGTGGTTGCTGGGAAGGTTTTTGGAGCCTATTGAGGAGCAAAACATCAAAAGCATGAGAAATATTTAAGATTTTAATAGTTTAAACGATATTAACATTTTGCAATGTATTTTGCTTTTAGAGAATATCGTGAGAATGACAACAAAACAATAATTTAAAATTTCAGTTTCCGTAATGGACGTGCTTTTGGTGAATCAAAAGTGAACTGACTGCAAATTTTTTCCTCTATCCGACATACCAAATTTCCTAAATTGAAGTGATTGCTGTGGGACTTCCTTCTGATAAAAATTGAGGAGATGCGCAAGCTTTTAGAAGGGCGGTATTGAAGTTGAACGAAGTCGGTTCTCTGTGTATTAACCAAATATACTACAGATTCTTTTGAATGTCTGCAATATGCTTTGAATGGAACACAAACAAAAAATAGAAGAAAAACCTTGAAATCATTAACTTTTACTTACAGTGCGGGCGGTTAGAGGGTTGGAATGATCCTTAAAATGTCGCCTGATTAAGCCGGCGTCCGTGCGCTTTCCCACTCCTTAAACAAATAATCGAACTGAACTTAGCATTATTGCTGACTTTTATTTAAAATTCTTTATTTTAATAATTTTATTTTACTAGCACAGCTTGTTTACAACTACTTACTCTCAAATTTCGATTATCGATAACGCTGCAGAAACTGACGATGGTTGCCATTCGTAATAGAAATTTTCTTTCCACTTGCGTTGCCAACAGGTAACCGAACCGTGGTTGCGTGCTATTCGTAATCGACCCATTAATAAAAGCGATTAATTTAAATTTTTGCTGCAATCACTCTTTCAGTTGAAAATGTGTTTCTCCACACAAGCAGCAGAAATATTTAATTTTAATGTTTGAAATTAAGTTAAGATTTTGGAGCCTAAAAGGGCTGTTTCAAATTTATAAGGGCTGAAAAAGGAGCTAGGGACTAAAAGCAAGTTTCTGAGGCAACTAAAAATAAAAAGAGCTAAATCTAGCCCCAAAAGCACCAAAATGGCAACACTTGTTCTAAAGAACATGCAGATGAAAGGCAAAGGAGGCATATTTCAAATGTTTATTCGAACAAGACAGAGGATAAGAAGACATCGAAATTGCAATAAGAAGTTGAAAACCATACCTAACCGCACCATGAGCAAAAAGCACCTGAATAGTATTTTTTTTACCATTTCTCGTTTCAAGTTTTTCTGAAATCCTTTGTTTGTTTGCTACGCTTTCACGCTTAAAGTACTCAATCGATCATTATGAAATTTTGTACACTCCTGTCATTTATCCCAACTTAAAATATACGATACATTGAATCTCGATTGGACAAGGGGGCGTGGCACCTCCCATACAAATGGATTTTTTCATACTGTATTTCTCAGGAAATATTTTTGGTAGATTACTGGACTTGGTATGGAGATATATAAAATCATTATCTACTCAAGGAAGAGGGGTGCCACCTTTTAAAAAAATTGAATTTAACTTCAATTAAGGGAGTTATTATATTCACAAGTAATTTTTAGCGAAAAAAAACCGACTTCAACTCCCATATAAAAAAGAAATATATATATATATATATCTCATGATTCACTGATCGGATCTCAACCAGATTAGTATGGGACACTCTGAGACACTACCTTTCCGATGCCAAAAGAATTATCGAAATCGGTTGACGTGGTCCAAAGTTATGCGGTAACATACATAAAAAAAAAAAAAAAAAAATATTCCGACGAACTGATAACCTCCCCCTTTTTTGGAAGTCGGTTAAAAATGGATGTCAAGAGGATTAGAAAAGCTGTAGTTTGAATATATCCTGAAATGGGTCGCCATATTTTTGAAAAGTCAAATTTAAATTAATTATACGCAAGCTATCTGAAGAATTAAAATATGGTTGTCGAACGAAATATTGTTAAGAAACCTTTAGATTGAAAGTTCTGAATAATATTGAAGCCTTTCACAAGGGTTGCCACATTTTTTTTAATAAAATTCATATTTCGTCCCGCCCAAAATTAATTTTATCATTGAAACACTTTGGTCCAACATTTTCACCAACAATTCACGTTTACGATTTCAATTGGCACGCTCATCGGCTAAGATTATGGTTTGGTGGTCGTTAGCCGCCTTAAAGACGGCTAACGAAAGTGTTATGTCCGTGAAGAAGTTCTTGAAATCTAATTGTGCAGCATTTCATAGAACGGTTAATCTCACAACGAAATATTTTGAAAGAACATTTCCTCTCCACTCCCTGGCGACAGCAATGCACCGGTTCTGTAGTGAATCTGCCCCAGAAACTTTATAGTATAGTTGGTCACAATTTCAAAATGGATGCGTATAATTGTTCTACAGAAATCTAATATGTAGATATACATAGACTTTGTATGGGAGGTGCCACGCCAATTTAAAAAAAAAATAGCGAATTTCTTTAGCCTATAACCATCATTGGTACGTCTGAAGGAGGTTTCCGGAATTTCAAAAAAATCGGTTCGGCCGTTCTCGAGCTTTGCGGACACAAAAAAACCGGCTTTCAAAATATATATTATTATAGATTATAGATTATAGATTGGTATGAATCGAAATGGTTTGGAATATGTATCACAGAATATATATGAGTGTCACACGAAACAAGCTTAAAAAGATTTCCAACTGTTTAAAATGTTAAATTCAAACTATTCAATAATTTAAATGAATTATTACAATATGGGTATCGATCGGAAGGGTTTTACAATGGCTTCATTTTAAAACTACATGTAAGGGGTTTCCATCTGTTTAAAATCTCAAATTGAGTTCAGGGGATATGTTAATTGAAAAAGTATGATAAGTTAGAAAGAAAATTTTATGTAGTTTGAAATTATTTATTTTAAAATTTAAACCTCCTTAATTGAGTTTTTTTGAAATAAATTTTACTCAATGTAGCACGAGAAATTTCATACACTCAGCGAAGCGGGTGAGGGCGATCTAGTTAAAAAATAAATTCCATTAGAAAATTAGTGAGGTTCCAAAGCTGCCCGGTTTTGGGTAGATTTGAACAATCATGTACATACATATCGCTCACACGGTCAAAAATTTGGGTTTAATTTTTAAACCGCGCTGGGACTACTGCCTTTTTTAAACTTTTATAGTCTACTTTTTAAACCAGTCAATAGTTTTACGCAATTTTTAATATATTCTGGTTTAAATTTTAGCCCAAAAAGTTCGTGGTTTAAAAATCAAACCAAAATGTTTTAATTCTAGTTTCTAGGTTTCATATATAGAAAATTTGGTTTAAAATCTAAACCGAAATAGAATATGTTTGCACAGCGAATTGTGGTGTTGATTCAAACTCAACATATGAAAGCACATTTATGTACATGCGTGGCTGTAGCTGAGTGTGCAAAGATGCTTGATACAATTGGTTGCTACCAAGGCTGTCCGGGTTCAATCCCAACCAGACGGAGCATGAAATTTAAGATTGGTTTTTTTTTTATTTTTAATTATGAAAATGTTTGTGTTTAACATTTAAACCGAATTGTTTAAATTCTAAACCCAACATATGTGCTCTCTTTTTTTTTAACTTGGAAGGTTTGTATCTGAAACTGAATTTAGTTTGGTCATATATGTAGTCCAACAAGTTTAAAATTAAAACCGAAAATTTTAACCGTGCATTTATTTCAATAGTGTGATAACCCAAAAAACCGAACTCGAAAAACCAGCTTTAAAGTTTTGAATTTGCGCATTGACGGCTGAGTGGATGATCGACCTATCTCGGCAGCCAGTTCGAAAACGCGCTATCTTAGAAAACTTTTCAAGAACGTCCTATTTCAGAATCGGCTTGAAAAACGCCCTACAGGTACAAACCATACTTACCTAAGAATATTTCCATTTACACAAATAAAAAGTCTTGACATTTTATTTAGTGTTTTTCATTTTATTTCTGTGAGTGGTTTCTAAATGACCTTCAGCAATGAAATGTAGTTTATTTTATTTTTATTTATTTATGTAGACGTGTATATCTATGGTTCATTACCAACAAAATTGCCATTTTTTTTTATTTTAACTCTGGTGTAAACTTCTGCAAAGATCGACTAAATTGTAAAAAAAAAAAAACAAACAAAGTTGCAAACCTTCTTGTCAAACATGTATTTCTAAATTTAATTTCAATATTTTTTACTGCGATGCTGCACCTTTTGCGTGTATTACTGGCTATAATGTTAAAAGAGAAAAGCACAAATGAAAGCAACAATAATTTCTCAAACATTTATATTTACTTATTTTTTTTTTATTTGTGAGTTTATGATTTTTTTTTGCTTTGTTTTTTTTTTTAATTTCTTTAAGTATTGATATTTGTATTTTTTGTTAAATTTTTTCTTTTTTGAAGTGTATACATTTAAAAAACAACAAAATATACAAATTCTTTATTTTCTTCGATAGGTGGTTCATTTTGTGTGGATATTCATAAGTAGACACTATGATGTGCAGTTTTTAAATGCTAAAATGCACAAACCTACGAAAATTTATAGAGTTTGGCGCGTTGAATTCAAAATATTTATTATTTCTTTCTGTGTGGTTTTTTTCAAGTTAATAATTCGCCAAAGTCGGGGTTCCTAGGAAAACTTTATGCTTAGTTTGATAATTGCTCTGTTTTGTTAGGATTACTCGTATTTATTGGAAATTTGGTTTTCTGAATATTCTTATACTTTGCTTTCTTATTCTGGGGTACATCAAAAACCGTACTTTTTAGCAATTTATTTAAATATTATTATTATTTTTTGATTTCTCTACCTTTTTATCGTAATTTGCGCATATTTAAAATTGTATTAAAATTTTTGTTTGATATCTTTTAACTTTTTCGTGTATATTTTTGTTTATTTCTCTTTTAAATTCGCTTCAGATTTGATTTTGGTTTATAGAATTTTTTAATTATCAGTTTAATAGCTTTTGTCTGTTGTGTGCTGTGTAGGACTTCTGGACAAGCAGCTACTTTTTTGATACACGCTTGCTAAGAAATTTTCTTTTTTTTTTTTAGTTATTATCGCATTGCTGGTTTAGTAAAGTTTTCAAAAACAGGGATTGTCATAAGGGGCACACATGTAACATCAATAGATAGTTTTTCTTCAAATATAATTCTCTTAGCTTAACATTAAATAATTATTTTTATATATTAATATGTGTATGCATATCTTAGATTTTCTTTTCAACACACTTCAATTAAATTTTCGCCTTAAATACTAGAAATTTAATACAATTACTTTGCGATATATGTATGTATATTTTGTATTCAAGTATTTCTTAAAATATATATGTATGTATTTTATATTATTTGGTTTACACTTAACATAAATAGATTTTCTCTTCATTTATCTAATTTAGTTTTTTATTTGTTTTTCGTACTTATCATTTGCTCCTTTTTCTACTTCATTTTAGGCGTTTATTGAAATTACAGTTTCTTAGTTTCGTTTTTTGTTATTTTGCTTAACTCGCTTTAAATCATATACTCTTTTGTATTTTTTATATAATAACGTTTATAATAGACTTTATATTTAATAAGTAACAACATGTACGTTTGTATGTAGTTTGAATTTGCTCAAAACATTCAGTGTATACATTTAGATAAGTTATGAAATTTTCTTTTCTGGATATGATAAAATTCATCTAAATCTTAGGCGTCAATTCAAGGTCACACCCACCAAAATCGCTCTCTCTCTCTCTATCTCTCTATCTCCCATTTCAACATAAACCAAGCTAGCACGCATGAATGCACACGTATGTACGTGTGCTTGCTTGACTAAATGCAGTTGGAAAACTGCAAAGTGTGCTCAAAACCTACTACTAAAAGTGTTCACGTTGTATATGTGTATATGTTTGCATTTGTTTTAGTTAGTAAGTATATCTGTGTTTGCAGTTTGTATATATAGTAGGTAAGCATTTTCATATTTGATGTCTTTTGGTATTCCGGTGTGCTTTTGATATCAACAATTTAAAATTTTTTCGTACTTATAATTTCTACCATTGCGATTATTGTTGCAGTTGTTGCTGTGTTTTCTTTTATATTTCGCTTCTACTTTTTCATGTTAGCTTTCATTATTTGTTGTTGTTGTTGTTGTTGTTGTTGTTGTTGTTGTTGACGTTACTGCTAACACTCCAACTATCTGCTTAAATTTCATAGTTGCGGAACTTATTGGCCACATCGGAATTCTCTGTGCCCCATTCAGTTTTTCGATTGCCATAATAGAGTGCAGCACCACCCTCGGAGGCACGTCGATGAGCTGGATTAGGTGAGGCCGCCGACAGACCACCACTGCCACCAGCACCAGTTGCGCCTCCCATTTCAGGCAGCATGCGATCTTTGGTCTTTGGTGTGGCCCAATGCATTGACTGATTGGTAGTGGTGGAGAGAAAAGTAGATTTTATTAAGTAATGTGTATGTATATTTTTTCATTGGGGAATATGAAACTGAGGCGAATTGTTTGTGTTTTTTATTCGCATTTCACTTGCAGTTTGAAAGTTTTCAGGACAATTGGTAATCTTTCACAATTTGGAAAATTTTTTTTAGTTTCCATATTCCTTACTCGCAGCTAACTACTTTTGAAATCGTAACTTTTTGATATCGAAAGTATATTTTTTGATTTAACAATTCGCCTTAACTTCTTACATTTTTCATTGACAAGTAGAATTAAAGATACATATTTACATAAATAATTTGACTGATACCCAGCCAAAATTTTTTTGCTAATAATTTATAAAATGGATACGGAGTGGGGCAAATACACAACATCAAAACTATTTATTACCAATGGATACATCTTTGAGAAAAAATCATTTTGGCATTTCATCATGCAATTTTTAATTTTTTTTATATTGAGGGTGACAAATTGTATTGTTGCTAATACCGTTAAGAGAAGTTAAAGATATATTTATGTATATGAAAATTCTATTTGAATTACTCGCTCTCTTTACTTCAATAAGTGTACGCAGATATATCTGAAATATTTATAAGTTTTAGCAACTTTAAATTACTATTGAAAGAAGTCATTTTGTTGACTAAACAAACAACTTCCTGCTCTAATTTCGGCGATGTTCCATTTTTTTTTTTAATATTCTATTTTTCAACTTTTCTTAACAAACAAATATTGACAAAAACGCATTTTTGGTCGAAAATAGAGGAAGAAAATGCATTATCTTCAGTTTTATATAAATAACACGATTCCAACCCGAAATTGCATTTAAATGAAAATTTGAAAAATTTAAACTAAAACGATTAAAGAAGTATAAGTTCGAGCAAGAGCGAATTTTCTATACCCGGCCCAGGCATCAGATATCGTCGCCCCAACTTTCTCTAAACTACCTTAAAGTCTCTAACAGTCTTATTTATTGTTAAGTGATTGTGGTAAGTATTAACTTGGAGAAAATGAACGGCCCCAGTTATTGAATTTTATTACACTAGATTAGTTTGTTTGGCAAGAAGAACATTTTCACCGTTTAATTTTAACATTTTGACATCGGATTTGTACAGTTCATTCAATTATAAATGAGGTGCCCATTCAAACAGCTTGGCTTCCAGATGTGCAATAAGATTTAATTTTTTTGAATAGGGTTGCCACCTGTACGAAAAATTATAAGATGTGCGATGTTCGTTGGACTAACCAGTGAGTTGTCAAATGAAAGGACTTGGCCTTCAGATGTACAATAGGGTTGTAATGTATTTAAATTTAAATAGCAATAAAAAAGTAACAAAAAATAAAAAAAATTTAAGAAATTAAATAAATAAAGTAATCTAATTTCCGATGACTAAGATTACACTGGAATGAACGAAAGCTTTTCTTATTTTTTAAGTTGTTGGATTTTTTGTTTCGGTAATTAAATTATTAAAAAGTAAAAAATAGTACAAATAAAAAGAATAAAGAAATAAAAAAAATTATAAAAAAATGGGGTCATTTATTCCTGTATCTTCCTCGTAGTATGCCCTGGATACTGCAAGCGTGGAAATTTGCAGGGTAATAAAAAGTAAAATTTTGAGAGAATTTTTAAAATACATTTATCAATTTTAGTCACATGAATGAATTTTTTAAAACAATTTAACATAAAACGCACCACTTAAAATTTTTCAGTTAAATTCGTATTTTTATTTCTTTAAATAATATAAACTAGTAATAGGGGCCGTGATCTAAAATATCTGCATATTTCTTTATTCTAAAAACCACAGACATTGCTTTTGGTAGTTAACTTTAACTTTGGGTATTTTGGCAAAATCATACTCTACTCAATACGTATGTATGTATATATAGCTGGCCATGCGTAAATCAATCCCTTTACTAGGGTCTGACCTTGAGACTTATTTATTTTATATGAAATAATCAGATTCTCTGAAACGCATATTTATCGAGAGTTTAACATACATTACCGTTCCCTCAGTTCGCCCACCAGGATTTTTTCGTTAAGAAATTGAAAATAAGGAATTGAAGTTGTTCGAAATTGTAGTTCCTGGAAATTGAAAATTAGAATGCGTGTGTGGGATTCAGTTTTAAATTTTAAAATTGTAAACTTTAAAAATCTTTCCGCGCAAGTACATATGTACATATATCAAATGATTCTTAAATCTGAAATGTTTTGTACAGATCGAGCACTATTTGATATATAAATTGTCTCTGTAGGATTACACGGGTGTATGTACAGAGCCAAAAGCAACATTTTTCTTTTGCAAATCTTCCGCTGTATGCTGCCTACATTCGCACCAACATTGCAACAATGCTTTGATTGATATGAAAAAAAAACAGAGACGAAAGCGAGTAAAGGAAAAATTTTTCATTCTCTTATGTCCCGCTGAAACGCTGCCTGTCGAAATGAATGAGGCCGTGTAAAAATTTTAAAATCTTTCGACGCAAATATTTCGAAAGTGGTTTATTGAACTTTAAATTTGAAAAGTTTGTGCAAAGTTCAGATCGAGCACTTTGATTTGATGTATTATTTGTCTCAGCACGATTTTTGAGTCGCTGGGAATAAGCGCCTAGTTTTAGAATAATATATAGATTAAATAATTAGTTGATAGATAGGCAACCCTACTTAAAGACATGGTAGTGTTAAAGCTTGTCCAAACACTTTCCGTTTGTTACCCATATTGTGATATTAAATAAGCATATATTTTTTAATAAACGTAAATGTAACTTTTTAGAAAGGTGGCAACTCCACTCCAAAATATTTTTTTTTGTCTCTGCAAACGGTTTTTGATTTACTATTGAAATTGAGGTATGCTGTGAAACTTTTGAATAGTTATAAATATCTCTGTTTTAAAATTTTTTTCTAGAAACTTTCGACAGAAAACACCATGTGGAATGGGAGCAAATAACAAAAAAAAAAATAAAAATAAAATTCAAAGTACATACGTGCCTTCTCGGATTTTTCATAATTTTTGCACACCTGATATTTTTCAATGTAACGCTTATAATAAGCTATACCGTGAAAATATTTGTTTCTAATTTTTTTCACATTTAAATAGTAAAAAAAAAAACAATTTTGCCCACTTTCTCTTTCTTCTGGCCCACTTTGCAATGTGAGTTAGGATTAAAAGACATTTTTCCAATGAAGTTAGTGCTGATGTAAACTGATAAATTGTAGTGGTTTATTAAAAATTGTCAAATAATAAATATTGTCGCGGCGAGTAGCAGTTTTATTCATTGTAAACCACATTTAAAAAAGGAAGAAAATATAAGTGACTTTATTGTTTTTGTTGATAGCCTACGCTAGCTCTCGGTTTTAAGAGGTGTAGAAATTTTTATTTTATTTATTGACCATCTAAGAAAGATAATTTTATGCCATTAGTACTCGATGTAGCTCATTCCGGAAGTCAATTGAAAAATTATGTCTTCAATAAACATTCCATTCAATTAGGCTATTCTCGTTTAAGGTCGATTCACGCGATTGATACCATACATACAAGCTCAATTGTAAATTTAATTGACAAATGTAACAAGTAATTTTAAGCAAAAAAAAAACCCGACTTCAACTCCCATATAAAAAAAAATATATATATATATATCTCATGATCCACTGATTGGATCTCAACCAGATTAGTATGGGACCACCTCTGAGACACTACCTTTCCGATGCACAAAGAATTATCGAAATCGGTTGACGTGGTCCAAAGTTATGCGGTAACATACATAAAAAAAAAAAAAAAAAAGATTCCGACGAACTGATAACCTCCTCCTTTTTTGGAAGTCGGTTAAAAAATCGTTTGTCAAGATTGGGACAAAGCTCAATATTTTCCTATAACACGATTAGGCTACTAATTTTTGGGTAAATTCTGAATCGTTTCACTCAGCCTTTTGAGCATACGAAGCTCACAAAAAATTCTAGGTTAATCCGATAGAGCTCTGCTGGGGTACTCTTAAGAAACATGTGAACCAGAAAAGTCCCAGAAATAAGACAAATTTGAAAGAGACAATATTAGAGATGCTAAAAACTGAAAAAAATTGGTTCAAGACTGCCAAATTCTTAAAAACTGGATGGTAAAAACTGGAGTAGCTGTTATAAGGGTCTATGGGGGCTCGCTAAATATTTATTATAATTTTAAGTGGCTTTTATTTTATTTTGTATTTTTAAATACCTTTGTGTGTGAGTAAATATTTTTTTTTTGAAATGCAAGTATTTGGCCACACAAAGAAAAATTAATTTTAAAAGACATAAAATTTGCTTGTGGATGTACACATATATAAGTTAATATTTTTGTAATTAAAAGTATGTACTCATTTGATTGCAAATGGTAAATCTAAAAATGAATTCAAAAAAATGCCCTTCTGGTTTTAAGGTCATATGAAAATATTCGCAATTCTTGCTTTTTCCTAGATTTTATGCTTTTTACCACATACCCGTATATAAAAAATAAAAAACGGTCACTATACTTCGATTTCCAGGCCACATATGCATGAAATGCAAAAATGCACATCGATTACCTCGAGGACTTATACTGTTAAAATGAAAAAGCATAAACTTGAAAATGAAGAGTAAAATGAAGTGAATAGGTACACATATATTAAATACATATATACACAAAAGTTTAAAAATATCACTTTATTATGTGTATATGTATTATGTTAAACTGTGCACTCATTCATATTTGATTAGGAGTAGTGCAGGATGCTACTCATCACTGAAAATAGTTATGCATTCTAATACTACATACGAGTCCATTTGTATAAAAGACCCTATGCATATACATAGACACAGGAAAATGAAGTAAGATAAACGAAAGACTACAAAATTGTAAAATCGTTGATACATAGTACATAGCTCAAGTTGTTTTTAATGCGGACGCTGCTAAGGTTTTGCGGTTGGGTTTTTATGGTAGAAATTTTTTTTTGTTATTTTCATTACTTAATGTACCGCTGTGAGTTGTTAAAACACAGCCGAATATCATTACGGATGTAGAAAACTAGAGGCATGCAGTTTAGTGCAAATACAGTTTTATTTTTTATAGGAATTGCGCTACTTGCATGGTAGTTTAGGTTGGTGGTGGTAGTGTGGGGTACACTTAATGCATGACAGGGGTACGATGACTAAAGTATGCCATTATTTTGTATTTATTTTCGCTTTATCTTATACTCGCTGCGTTCGATTTGCCACTCGTACCTCCTTATCCACTTTCTCAGCGATTGTGTATCTTCTCACCTGTCCGACGTGCTCCTTCATACCCAACCAGTTCTTGTAGCTCATTGCGATGCCACTGTTGCGCCATTTGTCATAGTTGGCGCGCTTTTCCGGGTCGCAGAGCGTCTCTTTAGCCTCCTGCAAGGGATAAAGGAAAACTGTAAAATTAGCGTGAAACGAGATATGCGTAAAAAGCGTCATAAAGGTTTGAGTAGAAAACTGAATTACATCTGCTAAAATTGATTTATAGGATTACATACATATGCTCGTATGTACATATACTATATATTGACATCAACCTTTTATAATTATAAGAAGTATATTGTTATTATTATAGGCCATATGCACCGCGACCTCTAAAGTGATCTATTGTGCGTGGTCCTCTGCCCTATATGGGAAGGCATTTACTATATCCTAGTATTTCCAAGGGCGCTTTATTTATTCAAAAAATTTTAAGTGGATTAAGTCTAGCACCACCCAAGTGAGCTAGTCTGCGCCTAGCAAGAGCGTTAAATTAATAAAGAATGTGTTTTGGGGTATCTTCGTCCAGCTTATCAAAGTTTTGAGCAGTTTAATAAAAGTAAGTGTTTATCAATACATAGAGAACTTTTCCAAAACTAATAAAGAAAAACTGGAATCTGAAATAGGCTTGGCATAGATACTTGGAGGAATTTTATCTAGAAAACAACTACTACAAAATAAAACCTCTTTTGATATATGATTGAATATATGATTCTAAATCGCGAGACAGACGGGCATGCTAATGCGCATAATAATTTTGCGCTGACAGGCTGCGGTAATGCGGATTAACGAACCGCAAGTGCGTGGGGTCGAGTCCCACGCAACTATGATTGGACGACAAGTGTGCAGATAGCCTAATTCATGCACAAAAATAGTTCCGCTGTCTCAGTCTCAATGTATGCCTATCTGCTTAGTGAAATTAAAGACCCTTTGAGATTGAGAGCAACACGAGGTTTGCCAGCAGGGCTGACGAAGCCTCCCAGTCATTGCTGAACGAAATATTCCCATATCCAACGTAATTTAGTAGAGATTTGCTTTGCCAAATTAGTTTGGAAGTAAATAGTTAGATGGCAACTCAATGTATTGAGGGCAGGCCGACAGTCTTACCTCTCGACTGATGTAGTCGATACCGAAAATAGTCACATAGTAATGGTCCTAAGGATTGAAAATAACTTGGATTGGAATACCGAAACATATTGCTCAAGTGTCAAGCGAAAATTATTGCCGTTACCTTCATGTAGAGCCCAGATTGTCACCATGTGCTAGTTCGGAGCCATTAGTAAAGACAAACGAAAATTGGCAAGCGGATTTAAAATGCTATTGACTGAAAGTTTATTCCACCGTAACGCTGGGGCATAACTGGTAACGGATGTGATTATTAGTGATTATTAGTAATGTTCCGATATATGTATTCAAAAGTATATATGATGGTGTATATTTTTTAAAAACGAATCGGCTTACACTAGCTAATGGTGATTTCATTTCTTCCAAAAAATGTAACCCTTTCACGTTGAGTTCGATGTTACACTCAACGCTGTAAAACAGCCAACACTCAACGCTGTGATACTGTCGTTTTAAGCATCCAGGGAATAAGGTATTTTCTAGCGATACACTGAATAGCATCGAGTACTTTCTTCGAGACATTTATTGAGTTCAGGCGTCGACTGCATGGTGGTATTGGACGAACACTAGTGATCATTGAAGCTTGCTGCTTGCTCCAAGATGAACGCCTGATTGCTGAAGTGCCTTCTGGTGTAGATACGCTGCTATCGGGCACGGGCCGTGATCGAAGGCTCCACATTTATTATTTATTGATTGGTTTCCATGTTTCCTAGAGTGCACAATTGGCGACGCAAGCATTGGGATTGAGTATAATTGTGCAATTGTAACTACAAAAGCCAGTAGAATGACGATTTTTCCATCGCATCTGTTTTAATTGTCAAAATGCTGCCAAAGAAGTTATGTTCCATGTGGGATTTCCATGAAAGCCTCACGTTTTGAAATTACACAAAAAAACGCGGAAACACGTAACCTTAATATTGGGCACTGCTTTTCCAGATCAGATAATTTTTGTAAGATATTTAAATTTTGTATGAAGAAAAATTTTAACTTCAACAGGAAAAAGAATAAAAAAAAATCTTTTGTAATCTTTTCACTTTTATTAAAGCCCGTTCTTTTGGCAAAAAATAAAGCTACTAACGATGAAAATCGATGTGTGTATAAATAAACAAGTTTTGAACGGTCAAATGAAAATTTGCATTAATTTTCATTTATGAAATAGGAGGTAATAATGTTACTCATACGCCATGTCGTACATGGCTATACTCGTAGGTACATGGCGTATGAGTAACATTTTTTTATGTTAAAGTTTGAATTTTCGCATTCGCATTGCTAATTTAAAATGAACATATATTGACCTGCTCTAGAAAAAAGGGTAACTATAAAATCTTGTCGGCGGAACGGAAAATGAAAATGTAGCAAACTTGCCGAAAGTATTGAACACTTTTTTCTATACTGCTGAAATTTTTCTGAGGTATCATAACAAAAAAAAGGCCATTTACGGGAGTTGTCTACTCCTGCGACTAATCGAGTCAAACACGATGGTGGAGGTGTATTCCATTTTTTTGGAGGCGCTTACTCTTGCATACTTATTTACCAGCCCCAGCTATTTCGATATGAAAGCGTGCCAATCAGTGTTTGTGCATATACATTCATGCATATACATATGTACAATGTACATTGTTCATATGTTTTATTCAACAGGTAAGATACTATTTACATACAAATACAGTACAAAGCCTGGAGTAGGAGTGAATATAAACACGAATCCGTACCAAACCTGGTTAAAATTTCATATACAAATTTTCCACTTCATAGAGCTTCGTAAATCGTGCCTGCAGCTACTACATAAGTATAAGTATAATTTTTTTTTGCTATGAATAGCAAATTGAGTCTACACGCACACTCCTCCCAACAATAGCAAGTGGTTAAAATTCGGGCAATGATACAATGGTAGTCAAGTTGCCACTGTGTATAACAACGTTTCACCAGAGAGACAGAGGGGAAGCAGGCGACAAGAATGAGTGCACGGTAAATGATAGCAGACAAAAACAAAACCACATTATTGGCTACCAGGCCGCTTGAAGTCGTGCAAAAAAACAGCAACAACTGTAAAAACTCAACAAGATTTATTGTCCGAAGTTGCGGGGGCGCAAATGGTGTAGTGAAGTGAATATTCGATCGCGCTGAATGAAGTGGTGTGCCACAAAATGGACGTCATGTAGCGACATTATGTATGTTTGATTTGCGGGGGCGCAAATGGTGTAGTGAAGTGAATATTTTATTTTAGTTTTAAAAACTGCATATCGCTAAGAGTGAAAAGTTGCTAAGAACACTTTTCCAAAAAATTATACTTCTAGGCAAGAAGAAACAACAATTAAATATACATCGTTTTCTAAAAGATCGAACTACATATTTTAGTTCGAAACTTTTCTATTCTGTGATATGCTAATTTTCCAAAAAACCAACAAAAAATATATTAAGTCTTACAGGGAAATTCTGGAAACTGTCATTGAACTCGCCACAGCCTATAGAAAAACAATTCTGGCAACTATCATGAAAACTTTAGTCTGTCTTTCGAAAGACTAATTAAACAATTTGCAAACGCCGAGGTCTCAGCGTTATAATTTTTGTCTTTTAGCAATAAGTTTTTTTTTTTTTTAAATTTAATTAACGAAAATGGAATGGAAAATGGAAAAAAAAGAAAAAATATATAAAATAAGTTTCTAAAAATTAAAAAAATACGTTTCCTTTCAATAAAATCTTAGAGAAAGTTGAATTAATGGAGTAAAAATAATAGAAAAAAAATAAACGAGGTCCTAAAAATTAAATGATATCAAAAAATTAAAATAAAATTTAATTAGAAAATGAAACTATATTTTCTCTTTCTCTCTAAGTTTCTAATTAAATAAAATGAAAAAAAATATATATTTTTCTTTTTAAGGCAATAAAAATTTAAATAAATTCAAAAAAATTAAAAGAAAGAAAAAATTTAATAAGTTTCTAAATATTAAATGAGATAAAAAAAAACTTATATATTTTTCTTTTTAAGACAATAAAGCCTAAAATTAAAAGAAAAAATATATAAATTAAGAAAAGAAAAACAAAATCCACTGCTCGAGGACTTGAACTCGGACTTCTCGAATTGCATGCCAGGGCTTTGCTACTCGGCCATTGTAACTGTTGGAGCAGCGCAAGCAAAATGATATAAAAGAGCTTTGCTTTCTAAGACATAAACAAAATCTTTCAAACCATTTTGCCTAGTGTCTTTCAATTGTCTTAGAAAAGACTGTAAGCAATCTTAGTCAGAATTGTCACGTTAAAGAACACAAAAACACTTTTCATCAGGTACCTATATATCTAAGGTGACGAAGTTAGAACTGATTTGCAACTATCGAAAAAGGAATGCTGCGAGAGCATTAAGCCGTCTTTGGTTTACTTCAAATTGATATTTATTCAGCTGTTTTTACCTTCGAATACGCTTTCGTTCTGCACTTCAAAGATGTTTTTTCATAGTTTGGAAACACAAAACAAAAATTTTCATTATCGTTTTACCGGAAATCGAGCTTGGGAATTTAGCACATAAAAGCGGAACTTTCGGAAAAGTGTAGCAAAGCGAACTAAATAGATCTAAACTATAAAATTTAAAATGGTTCCGAACAGACATCGCGTGTTAAATTCAACAGCTGTGTTTGCTTGGAAAAGAGATTTATCGCAAATTAGTAGTGGTTCTAAATGTATTAGAAGCAAACCAGTTCAGAACTAGAGACTTTCCCTACAGGAAGGTGGGTTGCGCTGCAGGTTTCTGCTTTGTGGGATGCGAAAACTAAAAAGGGAATAGGAAGTTCTACGGGTGTTGAGTGAACGTGTCCGTTGAGATTTAAATTCATAGACAGGACTACATTCAAAGGAAATAAATAAAACTCATCCATGTATGTTCCCATAAATAAACAATTTAGGAACGTACGTTCTTATGGACAAAACATTAGCAGCCATAGTTATATAGACTATTTTAGCCGAGAATGATTTTATATGTATGTATGTCACTAGGTGCCCTG